TGTTTTCAATTTTATTACACTTAATCATCTATTATTACAATAAAATGAAGATGACAAACCTAGGCGAAAAAAATACTGAATTGCTTTGACTTTACCTATTTATTTTTTTATTTTCTAATTCATGCTCTATTTATTTCGTAACAACCCTATGCAAAATACCGAATATACCCGCATTCACTAAAGACCAGGGACCCCGCGCGTAAGTTAAATTTAATGATTCTGCTCAAAATGTTTTCCTACCTATTCGCTAGTAGTAGTAGTAGTAGTAGGTAGTCTAAGGGGCTATTCCAGATACGCTCGGTCAAGTAGGTGAGCTCACAGGGCTCAATCTGAGAGAATTATTAGCACTAACCCTAGAGCAGAGCAGTGCTTCGCTCTCGTGAGGATCGGATCGGAATCGAGACCCACTGAGAAGGTCCGGTGAGAAAATCAGTGGAGTTTCTGCGACATTACTTATAAAACACTACATTACTTATGTTGTCCATATTTATTGTAAGTGTGAAAGTGTGATTGTTTGTCTTTCTTTTACGTCGAAACGAAGCAACACATATCATTCCCACTGGAAACTATACTATATGTAGCTTTTCTACTGCACTATACTATACACTATTCTTGACCACTTATGTGGTCTTATAATAAGCGCCACAATTATTGTTCATGAATTCTTCTATCTAGAAATGGATAAGTCTTATGTATAAAAAAATATTATTTCGATCCTAAAACCATAATAATTAAGGCTCACGATGAAATTAAAAACAATTTTCAAGTCGCGAGTTTATGAGTAAGTGAGATGGAACGAGCGAAATATCGTAGCTGCAATTTAATTAAAAGTAAAAAACTGAACAACATCTCAATTATGAGGTCGTGTAAATCTGAACTAGTGCCGATTGCTTTGACTTAATCCGTTGTGTTATTTATGATATCAATGTAGAAAAATCAATTACGCCTTTTGAAGACTATACTTTTTTACTTGTGGTAGGAGCTCTTGTGAGTCCGCACGGGTAGGTACCACCACCCTGCCTATTTCTGGCGTGAAACAATAATGCGTTTCGGTTTGAAGGGTGGGGCAGCCGTTCTAACTATACTGAGACCTTAGAAGTTATATCTCAAGGTGGTGGCGCATTTACGTTGTAGATGTCTATGGACTACAGTAACCACTTAACACCAGGCGGGCTGTAAGCTCGGCCACCCATCTAAGCAATAAAAAAAAATCTAAAACCCAGACAGGTTTTACCAGCCGTTAATATATTAGATATAGAAAAACCTACGTAAAAATAAAGCTACCCCCAATATACTTAAATATACTATAAATTTACTAAGCCGTTATTAATTCAGACTCCTCTTCTTAACATTTCAGTAGAATAACGCGACGCTACTTACTCAGGGAGGGAGGAGCGTAAAGTATTCCTGAGGCGGCCCAGTGTAGTCTGTCCATACAACATACAACACTTTATGTCCCCTTTATTAGGCTGTAGAAAGGCAGTAACAAGATTCTCATCAGACAAAATGTCCGTTAAGCCCTTATTTTTTTACACAATATTCCAAGTTAGTAGTTAGTAGATAAAGACAGGAAAAATAGGAAATACCCTTTAAAACGCTTTACCTACCGTGTTTTTTTTTTATAATAATTTATTTTATTTCAAATGCTTTTGTTATTTGATTATCCTGAGTCTTATATTTTTCGTGATCTAAATCTTAAAAATCTCTCACATAAACCGAATCCAAAGAATTAGTCATACATACATACATACGTTTGAAAACATTACCATCCTTCGGTAATCCGGTAATAAATTCTAATACTGTAATAAATTCGACTCATGAACCAGCAATGTAAAAAAACTCAGCTGGTATACTCTGGAGTATTCGAAGGCCGGAGAAGACAGAACGTTCCTTCCGGCTCCTGTAGAAGATGGTATCCCCCTGCTGAAAGTTACGAGACTATCTGAGGGGGTCGTGCGGCGCGCTACCAGCACTCTAGCGCACCCCTTAAAGTGACATCATAAAAGCGACCGGTGTGAGCCGAAACGAAAGTCCTTGGTGTGAGTCTGGTGTTGACCAGGGAACGGACGGACCGCCAGGGATCTGAGCTCGGGGAGATCGGACACTTGGGCGAGAATTCAGCGGAGTTTTTTAGTGGGTAGGGCCCTAAATACCATCCATAGACCCGCGGTCCGCTCCCAAAATCTGCGTATCGTCCAGTCCCACATAACCCGCGCATCCGCTGGGCGCGGGACTTCCTGGAAGGTTTAGCCCCCTCTCAGAAAAAAAAGGACTGCAGTATATTGAGAGTTGAGACCCTAGATGGTGCGCTTCGGTAATTTTTTTAATACATTATTACATCTACAAAAAAACCTGAATTGTCATATGCGTCACATGAATCAGCAGTGGTATACTAGTTGACATTTTCGTGATACAATACAGGATGTATGAACGTAACTCTTGTAGTATAGTTATTGCTGTTTTCGTGATATGTATAATACAAGGTGTATCAGATATTCCCTACGTAGCCCGTAGAGTAAGTGAAGTCACGTATGTTTTCGACAGAACCTGTTACCAGCACAAACAAGTTAAGTAATTATCATGAAACTGAGATGGCAAGAATAATAAAACGTACTTTACGACTAGAGAAATACGATGGTCCAAAACAAGAATAGTAACGAATATAACTTTGTTTAATAAGATTTTCTTCTTTTTTTTAATTATATTTAGCTGTAAGTATGGATAAAGATCATTCTATAGTTTGGTCAATCTTTAAAAATTCTCTGTTACATTTTACACCATTCAATAATGGCAGTGGCTTAGACAGGAGCAAATTTTATTTAATCTGTTACATACAATAATACTTAATAATGACAAATAGACGAACACCCGCTTCTTCAGTTGAACTCTCAAACAAAATAGAGCTCTTTTGTCGATTTTCGATAACACAGATCGAACGGTTCGTTTGAACCCTCTGGATCTGTATATTCGATGAAAAATGTTCTGTGGATTAATTTGAGTTAATTTCATCATCTTTGATCATAACACAACCTATTGCCCCACGAACCACACAAATGTGAATCTATCTACGTTGAGTCCTCATTTCAATAAGGTCCATTTCAAACTAGCTTTGAAAAGAATATTTATTAATATAAAGCGGCTTGGTTATGCCCTTGGCATTGTTAATGTTCATGGCCACCAATATCAGGTGAGCCTTTAAAGGTAATAAAGAACCCATTTGAATATTTTATAATTTTAAGAATGTCAATTAAGATCGTCTAATCATAACAGTCTTGCTTGCGATCAAAATATTCATCTCAATGTAAATGTAGAAATAATAACCATTAAATAGATAATACTGCTTTATTTTTCAACTTACTAAATTGTTTAAATATCAACGCGTACACCTCTACAATTGAATTACATAATGTCAATAACAAATTCAATAGACAGATATCATACATTGACTTTGAAATAGGTACGAGAGTGTCCGAAATTGAGTACGATATTATTATAAATGTTTATCTACCACCCTGTTTTTGTTTTTGACACGCTGTCAATATAACAGAACAGAATTTATATCGAGCTATAAATATCGAGACACAATCCCCTGACGCAACGAACATAAAACGAGCAATTAAATTATTAAACATTCATAGCGACCGTAATTTCTAGAATTCGAAATGTATAATTTGGGTACCCTCGTCAACAAAGTTGAGTTCGAAATACAATCAGCAAGAAATCCGTATTTTATATAGGTCACGGACTACCGACTCGTAATCTGTTCGACGAAAATTTTGATATAACTCACAGAGCATTAACATTTTTTTATTGGGTTCTTGTACTTTTGTAACATAAATCTGCGGACAGGTGTCGCTGTGCTTACCTTAATTGGATGCGATTCTACAAACGCTTCATATTCAACTTTATTATGATAGAATGATTAATTGACGGGCTTGGTTTGTTATTAATTATAAAGAATTTTTTTATTACTTTTTATTGGCATAAAATACTGATTGCAACATTTATACAATAGCAAATACGAACTTTTTTTTATATTTCAATTTATTATTTCCTTTATCATTTTATTAATTATTTTTACATTTATTCACAGTGTTATAACAGTTACTTAAAAATATAAATTATGCAAATATATCAAATGTTTTAAATTACATAATAATTTTGAAAATATTTTAAATGTATATTACATTTGTTATCATTACCTCTGTAAATGAAATAGTTCGCTAGTTTTAAATTGAACTCAACTTGCTAACCGTAATATACAACAAGACGAATTCGGTAACACGATACAACTTTTTCCATTAACGGAATTCATCAAGAAATTACACATTTTCGAGGATTGGAAGCCATAGACAAAAGCCGAAATGGGGAAATAATGAGAGTAGTCCCCAAAGCCCTAAGCCTGGCTTATATAAGATCGAACGGTACGCGGACAGATCAAAGACGCCGCCAAGTAATAGATTGCTTCCTCATTGACACAATTGACTAATAAGGGGAGGAATACGAAGGAAGACAGATTTGGGAAAAATAATTATTGTTTACCATCCTTATATTGAGGTATACTGAGTCGTTAAGTAGCAATTTATTTGAAAAAGGAATACCTACTCAAACATTTCAATTATTATTTTATAGTACTGAACTTTTTTCCACGAATTTACTAATCTTTCTTATCAATCAATTATTTTAAATTTGATGACAGATTACTTTCCGCTACATTCGTGCGTACGTTTTAATTGTATTTTCCGACGTCATTTTCATCATGTGTTTCTTCTTCTTAGATGTTAAACACTTGACAGAGTTGTCATGGTCATCATTGGGGCAAAGGCGAAAGTAAATTTAATGCACCTCAAGTCCCCCAAATTGTCTGTTCGAGCCCATCCTATAGCACTCATTTCAGAGACTTTCCACTGCAGACTTGATTTTTCATGTGTACGACTCACAAATTTCTTAACTAATAGTGTTCATATTACATTTTTTTTACAAGAAAATATTATTTATAGGTGTTCATAAAGTCGGAATTGAAAGTAGGAGTTATCTACGTAAAAGAAAATCAGTACACGGAAGAAGAAATACTGGACAACAACGAGAATTCTCCTTTATTCGAAGAATTCTTGCAGGTCATGGGAGAGAAAGTACGGCTTAAAGGTATGATGCACTGCCATATTTTACTGTAAAAGACAATCTTATGATTGAAAGTGATTATCGTCCACCCATGAACGCATGAATATGTATGTATCTACATCCTGGCTATTTTTGTCACGAAGCAATTATACGTCCGGATTGGAAGAGTGGGCAGCCATTGTACAATACGTTTCGCAATTTTCTCGTGGCGGGTGGTTTTAATTATGCTGTGGTGCTGAAAATAAATAACGCTGTCAGTTAAGTCCTAGGAAAATAACTTGCTTAACTATATCTTTGAATCTTTATTTAAAGAGTTTTAACCGCTACTACGATTATGAAACTCTGGTTGTATAAATACAAAACGGGCCATAGTTGCTGTAGGCAGCAGCTTGACTGTGCCCCTAGCATTACTGACGTCATGAGCGACGGTTCTCCCATTTGCTCTAAAGTTTCGTGCTTTAGATCACTTTTCTTTTAATAGGATTCGATAAATACAAAGGAGGCCTCGACACAGTACACGACTTGACTGGCTTATATTCAGTCTACACCAACTGGAGGAGTATCGAGATAATGTTTCACGTCTCCACTCTCCTGCCTTATGAGAGACATGATCCTCAGAAGCTGCAAAGAAAACGTCATATAGGCAATGATATCGTATGCGTCGTCTTCCTTGAAGCGGATAATACATCCTTCTCACCGGCATGTATCAAGAGTCACTTCTTGCATACATTCATTTTGGGTAAGCGGTTGACTTTTTCGAAATTCAATTTTCAATAGGTATTTAATTTATAATACGGTTTTGTCTTTATTCAATAGCATTTGTTTTAAAAAACCATCCACCCAATTAAACAGACCTTAAAAACTTTGGGTTTCGCCCATTTGGTACGTTGCACCAATACTAGGTTAGTAAAAACAAATTTTGCTATTAATATTTCCAGTTCGAGTGTCGGCCAAGATTAAACGTCGACCGACAAGGTACGAAGTATCTGTAGTGACGCGGGACGAAGTGGGTGCCTACAAGCCATACCTTTGGGAACAAAGCGTCTTTGATAAAGGTCCCATGTTCAGGTAAATTCAAAACTATTTCTCGTACAACTAGAACCGTGTGCAACTTAAAACATCCAAAACAGCTTTTGACCATACTCTGGACAGCTAATAATTAGAATGGATAGTCTGAAAGTCAGGAAAGGTTGTGTGATAAAAGTCGTCATGGCCTAAAGGATAAGACGTCCGGTGCATTCGTATGTAGCGATGCACCGGTGTTCGAATCCCGCAGGCGGGTACCAATTTTTCTAATGAAATACGTACTTAACAAATGTTCACGATTGACTTCCGCGGTGAAGGAATAACATCGTGTAATAAAAATCAAAGGCCCCCAATAAAAAAAAAAATAAGACCTATTTGTGGAATCGATGGAAACTTTTATTTAGATACGCATCATCGAATATCGCATTTTGCTTTTAACTTTTTACACCAAAACTGATTTCAGAGAATGGTTACTAACAAAAATTGTGAATGGCGAAAGAGCATCGTACTCGGCACCGAAATTTGCAAGAATGCAAGAAAGAACACGCAGTCAGATGCTGGAAGACATTGTAGCTAATCTACAGAATCACGCAGAAACGGGACAAATACCGAAGCCTTATCGAAGAGGTAAGAGTTTAAATTAATTACTCATCAAATAGCCAAAGCTGTAACTGGATTTTTACGGTGAACAAAGTATCAAATACTTTACTTTTTATCGCTTAGATGGGGGACTAGCTCACGTCTTTTCTGGTGTTAAATGGTTACCGAAACCCATAGACATTAAAAGCGTAAAGACGTTCACCCACCTTGCGATAACTAACTTGAGGTAACTATTCTGAGACCTTAGAACTCATATCTCAAGGTGGGTGGCGGCATTTACGTTGTAAATATCTATGGGCTCTGTTTACCACTTAACACCAGGTGGGCTGTGAGCTCGTCCACCCATCTAAGCAATTTCATTTTTTTAATACAACGGCTGCGCTATACTTCAAATTTAAATCCATTACTGCTTTACGCATTGCTTTATATAAGAAGGGTGATGGTACCTATCCGTACCTACCCAACTCACAAACCGCCCTACCGATGTGATTAATAAACAATTGTGTTTAACTATCTACTTAACAAACCCAAAGAAAACAGTTTATCTATAGTTGAAAATGTTTATCGGCACCACTTATACATGGAGATTAATCTCAATTCCAGGTTCTTGGCGTCCAATAGGGCATATGAGACCTTCATCGCCTCTTCTAGATTCCGTGAGAGACCAATTCGAAGATTATGATCAACTTGCTAGAGACTTCACCAGAGTTTTTCTGAATAATGAATTGAACACGGCAACAAACGCACAACTTTTCGACGTCGTTTTTCTTGTGGGGCAGTCAAAACAGAAAACCAAATTTATTGGAGTACGCGCCATCCTTGGCGTAAGAAGCAGGTAAGACTTTTTTTAAAGTACCAGCATAAGAGTTGATTACTGTGATGGATTATTAACTATCTTAACTATTTTACTGGTGGTAGGACCTCTTGCGAGTCCGCATGGGTGGGTACCACCACCCTGCCGTTTTGTGCCGTGAAGCAGTAATGCGTTTCGGTTTGAAGGGTGGGGCAGCCGTTGTAACTATACTTGAAACCTTAGAACTTATATCTCAAGGTGGGTGGCGCATTTACGTTGTGAAGTCTATGAGCTCCAGTAACCACTTAACACCAGGTGGGCTGTGAGCTCGTCCACTCCTCTAAGCAATAAAAAAAAACTCCCAGTGAATCTATTCTGAATTAATAAGAAAGCTATTGATTTTTTCATCAATTCACAGGGTTTTCCAAGAGATGCTGTACGGCATTCAGACAGGATTCGGGTCTCCTCAAGTTCCCGTTGCCGAGTTACTAGCTCGGCCAGCGCCTACACTGTTGTCTCCAACTCCAGCGAGGCAGAAGAGCAGCAACTTCTTGCAAGTTCCGGACATTGAATCACCAAGGTATATTTTGCAGAAATCTATTAATAGAAGAATTTATATCTTATCTATATTATTGATTCTCGTGGTAAACAGCTTTGAATCAATTGTTTTTTTTTATACAAAGACTATCGTGTTTGTTTCATTGACAAATGTTTTAAATTCGTCAGTTTTTTAATACGCTTTTATTAGCTTCAGACGAATATAATTAAAAAATAACTATCCTGAAAAGCACCCCACGCTTTTTTCACAATAAAAATCATTGTTTTTTACACTATTTTTAATTGAAATTTATTAAAATTTATTTTCTATTTTTTAGTTGAATTTTCTATAAAAGCGTATTTTACAGTTTTTTTAGACTATTATTAAGAAATATAATTGATATCTGACTGTGACTGTCATTTATTATCCGCCAACATCATTCAAACAAGGCTTGAATAAGATGCCTTAATGTAGTTAGTGCCTCGGTATTTTCAAGAGCGAAAATAAAATTATTACCAGAAATTGTATGACTTGATGACATTTAATTGACATGTAGGTATATTTTGCGTTTCCTTCCTTTTTTTTGTTTTATCTGTGTTTATTTTAAAAATATAATAAAAAATTCTAACCTTGGAATAGAAATTGAATTTAATGTTTACAAAATTGAATTTGATATCTCCAAAAGTGAATGCGATATTTATAAAATTGATTTTGTTGTTTATAAAATTGTTAAAAACCTATATTGTTTTTTCCACTTCTGTAAACTTTCGCGATCAAGATTTTTAAGCCCTATTATTTAACGGGCTCTTAGTAAGATTTTTGTTTTAAATGTGTTCCCCAGCTTATAGAGGTCAGTCAAGAACTTGAGTGTTTTTTTTTTATTACTTAGATGGGTGGACGAGCTCACAGCCCACCTGGTTGTTAAGTGGTTACTGGAGCCCATAGACATCAACAACGTAAATGCGCCACCCACCTTGAGACATAAGTTCTAAGGTCTCAAGTATAGTTAAACAGCTGCCCCACCCTTCAAACCGAAACGCATTACTGCTTCACGGCAGAAATAGGCAGGGTGGTGGTACCCACCCGCGCGGACTCACAAGAGGTCCTACCACCAGTAATTACGCAAATTACAATTTTGCGGGTTTTATTTGTATTACACGATGTTGTTCCTTCACCGTGGAAGTCAATCATGAACATTTGTTGAGTACATATTTCATTAGAAAAATTGGTACCCGCCTGGGATTCGAACACCGGTGCATCGCTTCAACACGAATGCACCGGACGACTTATCCTTAGGCCAGGACGACTTCAAAATAATTAATAGTTGTTAATATAAATTATTATTTTTACAGTGATGTTTAATATTTCAGGCCAAAAAGCGTGCCAAGTTCTCCGATGGTGAAGCGCGCGTTCTCCCGCCTCGGTACCATCACGGCGGGCTGGGGACGATCCATCAGGAAACAACACTCGCAACTAAATGCTGATGACAAGAAAAGATGGGCCAGCTCCCAAGATTGCTCCAGTAATTATATTTTGTTTAATTAGTTTATCTAGGGAATATAAATTCTGTAACAGCTGTTTTTATCTTCTATGTTTATTTATTGTATGATTTTTTTACCGAAAAATTAATAATTAATTCACAGTGAGGCAATACTATACTTAGTTATCGCTCACAAACGTGCATTAATTGGGCCCAATCAAAGTTTTGTGCGAATGTTAGCGATAAATACTTGCAGATACGAACCTACACTGATAAAATTCAGTAAATTAAAAATCGAAATTTTAATTGAAAATTTTTTTATGAATGAATATTTTCAAACTATTGTATTAACTCCTCATAGTTAAAAATACACATATATTGAGATTATTAATCTCTAATTTATTCACACAATGAAATACGATATTTGAATGTCAATAAATTAAAATAAGAATGTTTAAATCTATAATAATGTTCACATAGAATTTTATTTTTTACTAGCTGACCCGGCAGGCTTCGTAGTGCCTCAATCGATAAATAAAAGAACTAAAATAAAAGGAATCCGTCCGATGGGGGGGACATCATAGGAAAAAAATTGTTATTTTTATTTAATTCCGAGCATTTTCATATTTATTTTAAACCTTTTAAACCTTCTCTGGACTTTCACAAATCATTCAAGATCAAAATTAGCCAAATCGATCCAGCCGTTCTCGAGTTTTAGCGAGACAAACGAACAGCAATTCATTTTTATATTTAGATATTACTATTTTTATTTATTAAAGTACTGTATTTATTGCTAATTTTAATCCAATACAAGGTACAAAATTTGATGTTCACATACATGCCTTGCCTGTCTTTAGAGTTACAGTAACAAATGTTTGAACAATACAACACTACTATAACAATACTACAAGGGCAATAAAAAAAAAGAACGTACCGTAATTCTAATTTACTGTAAATTATACTGGGGCACATTAAACAAATAAATAAACTAAAATATTATGATGGTAATACCTTCGCAATGCTATGTTCCAGATAAAGAAGGAAAAGAAAAGGAAAAAGAGAAGAATGCAGCTCTAGCAGTACCCAGGCTATCTGTATGCGCGGACGCGCAAAAAGTGGACCGGGCGAAATTAGCACAAACTGAGGTAAATTAAGTAAATTAAGCTGCTAGTATTTTATTGTATTTTTAACGATAACATCAGATGGGCATACGAGCCCATGGTCTTGCATTATATTAATGAAAGTATATTCGATTCTTTTTTTTATTTTATTTTTATTGCTTAGATGTGTGGACGAGCTCACAGCCCACCTGGTGTTAAGTGGTTACTGGAGCCCATAGACATCTACAACGTAAATGCGCCACCCATCTTGATATAAGTTCTAAGATCTCAAAATAGTTACAACGGCTGCCCCGCCCTTCAAACCGAAACGCATTACTGCTTCACGACAAAACTCAATATAATTAACGTTATAATTATTATTACTATTATACAATTAGTGTAGGCATACACTACTAGCCAAATCAATGCCCTTCAACAAAGATTCTTTGAGATCAACTTTCTATAATCATAAAACACTATTAATCAACTGCATATATCTCTCTTAAATTTCAGTTCTCTATTATCGAGTTCGATCCGGATACATTTCGCATACTCCTGGACTACTTGCACACGGGTAGTTGTCCTCTAACCTGCGCGTCGATCCCGGGATTGATCTGCGCTGCGGAACACTACGACCTTCCTGAACTGCTGCAGGCCTGCTTCCATCACGCGAAGCAATTCCTCAGGATAGAAGTGGTCAGTATAATTTTTTACTGGTGGTAGGACCTCTTGTGAGTTCGCACGGGTAGGTACCACCACCCTGCCTATTTCTGCCGTGAACCAGTAATGCGTTTCGGTTTGAAGGGTGGGGCAGCCGTTGTAACTTTACTTGAGACCTTAGAACTTATATCTCAAGGTGGGTGGCGCATTTACGTTGTAGATGTCTATGAGCTCCAGTAACCACTTAACACCAGGTGTGCTGTGAGCTCGTCCACACATCTAAGCAATAAAAATAAAAATAAAATGTGATTACGTTAAGCCATTTACAATAATCTGTGATAAGGTTTTTTGTTAGGTATGATGATCCTGGAATATTAGGTAATTACAGCAGTCCGTAGACTTCACAATGTAAATGCCGCCAGGCACCTTGAGAGATGAGATGGAACTCAATTACCTATTGCTTGATGGCTGTCCAAGCCGTACCGCTTTTGGTAACCTAAGCATGCGGGCTTACAATACCTTAACACCAGTATTTACTAAAAGTTATGAAATTTGCGGGTTCGATTTTTATTACACGATGTTATTTCTTCACCGTGGTAATCATGATATGGGGCATGCCTCACACTCGATCCTCCGAACCGAATGGTAAACAGTCGATGTCGCCCTAAACACGTCATTTCGGTTCCTCCCGATCCACTAACGGTGCTTTTAGGTACCTCAAGCACCGGTCACCGTGCTCGTTGAAACCGTCACTTGCGATGACGAGTTCGGCAAGTAATTTAACCCATAGACATAGCCCACTGAGTTTCTCACCGGATATTTTCAGTGAGTCGCGTTTCTTATCCGGTGGTACATTCTGCGAAGCACTGCTCTTGGTAGGGCTAGTGTTAGCAACGTTCTCAGGTTAGAGCCCCGTGAGCTCACCTGCTCGCTCGGTTGCGCTGACATTGCCTCTCAAGGCTACCAGCGTAGGTAGAAAAAAAAGTAGTAATCGTTCGTTAACATTTCGTCTTCTCGCATTAAAACTGTATAATCTCAAAACTTTCTAGTTTTACAGGAGAGTGTTTTAAATTTTTTTTACATGTGATATTTTTAGTATTGTTAATCATCTTTGCAACATTAATTTTTTATTTTTTACCAGTTACATTATCTGTCTATTAAAGTGGGATAAAATTATGTAATAATTTTGTTAATAGTAGTCAAAATTTAGGTGAACTAAAAAAAAACTAAAACTAAACTACGCTCTTTTGACAGTATTTATGAAAAAAATACTGGTGATACCAAATGATTCCGCATATTAACTCAATTTCGAATATTTTTGGAAATTGTACACTTTTAATGCGAAAAGACGAATTTTATTAAGCTCGTACATTTTATTATGAAAAAAAATTGCATATATCGCATCGCATATATAACTATTATTGTTGAAACCCTATCCAAGGCTGTTGGTCTTAAATTATACATATAATGTATTTATTTTACAGGTGTGCACTATGCTGATATCTTTAGAAAACTATTATTGGCGATACACTTCAGCATCTGAATTGGTAAACATGATTCTTGCTTTCATCGAACAGCGGGCGTACGCCCTTTTCCAGACATCAGAGTTTCTCAATCTCTCCGAGTCTATGGTGCAAATGATCATGTGCCGCAACCTAGAAGTGCCCGAAGTAAGGAAATTCGAAGCCATGCTCGGCTGNCACGGGTAGGTACCACCGCCCCGCCTATTTCTGCCGTGAAGCAGTAATGCGTTTCGGTTTGAAGGGTGGGGCAGCCGTTGTGACTATACTGAGACCTTAGAACTATATCTCAAGGTGTGTGGCGCATTTACGTTGTAGATGTCTATGGGCTCCAGTAACCACTTAACACCAGGTGGGCTGTGAGCTCGTCCACCCATCTAAGCAATAAAAAAAAAAAAAAAAAGCGGTTGACTTTTTCGTAATTCAAATTTCAATGGGTATTTGAAGTCGTCGTGGCCTAACGGATAAGACGTCCGGTGCATTCGTGTTGAGCGATGCACCGGTGTTTGAATCTCAGGCGGGTACCAATTTTTCTAATGAAATATGTCCTCAACAAATGTTCACAATTGACTTCCACGGTGAAGGAATAACATCGTGCAATAAAAACGAAACCCGCAAAATTATAATTTGCGTAATTACTGGTGGTAGGACCTCTTGTGAGTCCGCGCGGGTGGGTACCACCACCCTGCTTATTTCTGCCGTGAAGCAGTAATGCGTTTCGGTTTGAAGGGTGGGGCAGACGTTGTAACTATACTTGAGACCTTAGAACTTATATCTCAAGGTGGGTGGCGCATTTACGTTGTGGATGTCTATGGGCTCCAGTGATCACTTAACACCAGGTGGGCTGTGAGCTCGTCCACCCATCTAAGCAATAAAAATAAATAAAAATTTAATTGATAGTACGATTTTGTCTTTATTCAATAGCATTTGTTTTAAAAAACCACCCACCCAATTAAACAAACCTTAAAAACTTTGGGTTTCGCCAATTTGGCACGTTGCACCAGTACTAGGTTAGTAAAAACAAATTTTGCTATTAATATTTCCAGTTCGAGTGTCGGCCAAGATTAAACGTCGACCGACAAGGTACGAAGTATCTGTAGTGACGCGGGACGAAGTGGGTGCCTACAAGCCATACCTTTGGGAACAAAGCGTCTTTGATAAAGGTCCCATGTTCAGGTAAATTCAAAACTATTTCTCGTACAACTAGAACCGTGTGCAACTTAAAACATTCAAAACAGCTTTTGACATACCCTGAACAACTGATAATTAGAATGGATAGTCTGAAAGTCAGGAAAGGTTGTGTGATAAAAGTCGTCATGGCCTAAAGGATAAGACGTCCAGTGCATTCGTATGTAGCGATGCACCGGTGTTCGAATCCCGCAGGCGGGTACCAATTTTTCTAATGAAATACGTACTTAACAAATGTTCACGATTGACTTCCACGGTGAAGGAATAACATCGTGTAATAAAAATCAAAGGCCCCCAAAAAAAAAAAAATAAGACCTATTTGTGGAATCGATGGAAACTTTTATTTAGATACGCATCATCGAATATCGCATTTTGCTTTTAACTTTTTACACCAAAACTGATTTCAGAGAATGGTTACTAACAAAAATTGTGAATGGCGAAAGAGCATCGTACTCGGCACCGAAATTTGCAAGAATGCAAGAAAGAACGCGCAGTCAGATGCTGGAAGACATTGTAGCTAATCTACAGAATCATGCAGAAACGGGGCAAATACCGAAGCCTTATCGAAGAGGTAAGAGTTTAAATTAATTACTCATCAAATAGCCAAAGCTGTAACTGGATTTTTACGGTGAACAAAGTATCAAATTGTACTTTACTTTGTATCGCTTAGATGGGTGGACAACTCACGTCTTTCCTGGTGTTAAATGGTTACCGAAACCCTTAGACATTAAAAGCGTAAATACATCCACCTTCATATATAAGTTTCGAATCTCAGTTTTATAACACAACGGCTGCGCTATCCTTCAAACTTAAATCCATTACCGCTTTACGCATTACTTTATTTCAGAATCCGTACCTACCCAGCTCACAAGCCGCTCTACCGATATGATTAATAAATAATGGTGTATAACTATCTACTTAACAAACCCAAAGAAAACAGTTTATCTATAGTTGAAAATGTTTATCAGCACCACTAATACATGGAGATCAATCTCAATTCCAGGTTCTTGGCGTCCAATAGGGCACATGAGACCCTCTTCGCCTCTTCTAGATTCCGTGAGAGACCAATTCGAAGATTATGATCAACTTGCTAGAGACTTCACCCGAGTTTTTCTGAATAATGAATTGAACACGGCAACAAACGCACAACTTTTCGACGTCGTTTTTCTTGTGGGGCAGTCAAAACAGAAAACCAAATTTATTGGAGTACGGGCCATCCTTGGCGTAAGAAGCAGGTAAGACTTTTTTTAAAGTACCAGCATAAGAGTTGATTACTGTGATGGACTATTAACTATATTAACTATTTTACTGGTGGTAGAACCTCTTGTGAGTCCGCACGGGTGGGTAGCACCACCCTGCCTATTTCTGCCGTGAAGCAGTAATGCGTTTCGGTTTGAAGGGTGGGGCAGCCGTTGTAACTATACTTGAAACCTTAGAACTTGTATCTCAAGGTGGGTGGCACATTTACGTTGTGAAGTCTATAAGCTCCAGTAACCACTTAACACCAGGTGGGCTATGAGCTCGTCCACTCCTCTAAGCAATAAAAAAAACTCCCAGTGAATCTATTCTGAATTAATAAGAAAGCTATTGATTTTTTCATCAATTCACAGGGTTTTCCAAGAGATGCTGTACGGCATTCAGACAGGATTCGGGTCTCCTCAAGTTCCCGTTGCCGAGTTACTAGCTCGGCCAGCGCCCACACTGTTGTCTCCAACTCCAGCGAGGCAGAAGAGCAGCAACTTCTTGCAAGTTCCGGACATTGAATCACCAAGGTATATTTTGCAGAAATTTATTAATAGAAGAATCTATGTCTTATCTATATTATTGATTCTCGTGGTAAACAGCTTTGAATCAATTGCTTTTTTTATACAAAGACTATCGTGTTTGTTTCATTGACAAATGTTTTAAATTCGTCAGTTTTTTAATACGCTTTTATTAGCTTCAGACGAATATAATTAAAAAATAACTATCCTGAAAAGCACCCCACGCTTTTTTTACAATAAAAATCATTGTTTTTTACACTATTTTTAATTGAAATTTATTAAAATTTATTTTCTATTTTTTAGTTGAATTTTCTATAAAAGCGTATTTTACAGTTTTTTTAGACTATTATTAAGAAATATAATTGATATCTGACTGTGACTGTCATTTATTATCCGCCAACATCATTCAAACAAGGCTTGAATAAGATGCCTTAATGTAGTTAGTGCCTGGGTATTTTCAAGAGCGAAAATAAAATTATTAGCAGAAATTGTATGACTTGAAGACATTTAATTGACATGTATATTTTGCGTTTTCTTCCTTTTTTTTGTTTTATCTGTGTTTATTTTAAAAATATAATAAAAAATTCTAACCTTGAAATAGAAATTGAATTTAATGTTTATAAAATTGAATTTGATATCTCCAAAAGTGAATGCGATATTTATAAAATTGATTTTGATGTTTATAAAATTATTAAAAACCTATATTGTTTTTTCCACTTCTGTAAACTTTCGCGATCAAGATTTTTAAGCACTATTATTAAACGGGCTCTTAGTAAGATTTTTGTTTTAAATGTGTTCCCCAGCTTATAGAGGTCAGTCAAGAAATTTAGTGTTTTTTTTTATTACTTAGATGGGTGGACGAGCTCACAGCCCACCTGGTGTTAAGTGGTTACTGGAGCCCATAGACATCAACAACGTAAATGCGCCACCCACCTTGGGACATAAGTTCTAAGGTCTCAAGTATAGTTACAACAGCTGCCCCACCCTTCAAACCGAAACGCATTACTGCTTCACGGCAGAAATAGGCGGGGTGGTACCTACCCGTGAGGACTCACAAGAGGTCCTACCACCAGTAATTACGCAAATTACAATTTTGCAGGTTTCATTTTTATTACACGATGTTATTCCTTCACCATGGAAGTCAATCGTGAACATTTGTTGAGTACATATTTCATTAGAAAAATTTGTACCCGCCTGGGATTCGAACACTGGTGCATCGCTTCAGCACGAATGTACCGGACGACTTATCCTTTAGGCCAGGACGACTTCAAAATAATTAATAGTTGCTAATATAAATTATTATTTTTACAGTAATATTTAATATTTCAGGCCAAAAAGCGTGCCAAGTTCTCCGATGGTGAAGCGCGCGTTCTCCCGCCTCGGTACCATAACGGCGGGCTGGGGACGATCAATCAGGAAACAACACTCGCAACTAAATGCTGATGACAAGAAAAGATGGGCCAGCTCCCAAGATTGCTCCAGTAATTATATTTTGTTTAATTAGTTTATCTAGAGAATATAAATTTTGTAACAGCTATTTTTATCTTCTATGTTTATTTATTGTATGATTTTTTTACCGAAACATTAATAATTAATTCACAGTGGGGCATTACTATACTTAGTTATCGTTCACAAACATGCATTAATTGGGCCCAATCAAAGTTTTGTGCGAATACTAACGATAAATACTTGCAGATACGAACCTACACTGATAAAATACAGTAAATTAAAAATCGAAATTTTAAGTTAAAAAATTAATATGAATGAATATTTTCAAACTATTGTATTATTAACTCCTCATAGTTAAACATACACATATATTGAGATTATTAATCTCTAATTTATTCACACAATGAAATACGATATTTGAATGATATTAAATTAAAACAAGAATGTTTAAATCTTTAATATGATTCACATAGAATTTTATTTTTTATTGCTATTTTTATTAAGCTACTGTATTGATTCCTCATTTTTATCCAATAAAAGGTACAAAATTTGATATTCACATAATAATGCAGGCCTGTCTTTAGAGTTACAGTTTTTTTTTTTCCTACCTAAGCTGATAGCCTTAGAGGCTATTTCAGCGTAACCGTGGCTAGTAGGTGAGCTCACGGGGCTCAAACCTGATGACGTTGCTAACACGAACCCTAGCAAGAGCCGTGCTTCACAGAATCTACCACCGGATCGGAAACGCGACCCACTGCGAAGATCCGGCGAGAAACTCAGTGGGCTGTGTCTGAGAGTTAATTTACTCGACGAGCCCTTCGTCGCAAGCGACGGGTTCGACGAGAACGGTGACCGGTGCTTGAAGTACCTAAAAGCACCGTTAGTGGATCGGGAGGATCCGAGATGACGTGTTTTAGGCGACGTCGACTGCTTTCCATTCTGTCCGCAGGATCGGGAATGTAGTTACCGGCGGCCACGATGAGAGGGTTCTCGTGTCGTGCCGCTTTATCGAAGTGGCGCATCGACGCCGACTGAAGATACTTACTGATGGACTCTAAGTCCAGGTCGTCATGGAGGTCGACGTTCCTGACGAACCACGGGGCTCCGACGGCTATNGCAGAAGCAGGACTCGAGGTTCTCGGAGTTTGAGAGTTTCGACTACGGCATTTAACTTGGAGCTGTGAGGCATATCAGTGTATTAGGTAGATATGAGCGATCACGCCGAGCCCTTCTCTATATGGTACGTTGACGCCTTCTAAAGTATTATTGTTGTAGATCAGCGGTCGGGAACCGGGGTAAATTACCCCAAATGGGGTAAAATGAAATTGTGGAGGATAAAAATGAAACTTTTGTGAGTAAAAAGTGTATATTGAAGTGAAACTTCTTTAGAATCGTTGTGATTTCAAACTCGATGAAACGAAATGAAATGAAACGAAAAAATAATCTTTTTTTTTTTTCAAAATTATCTTGGAGCCTATGAAAGATGCTAAAAAAAAGCGATTTCGCTTTTTTTGTTCTTCGCCATGGGTTAATATATCAACTTACACAAAAATATTTTTGGGTAATAATTCAAAAAGTTCCCCGACCGCTGTTGTAGATGTAACTACTAAAATACTAGTAGAGATGCGAGAAATATTTGTACACTTCTCGTAAACGTATTCCTTGTTGTTATTCATTGATACCTATATATTTTTTACATCTAGCTAGATGTGTTCAGCATAATCATCTATATTTTTGGTACAAAAAATTTGCATCGTAATATTCAGCCAAAACTATGTGTAATCTATTATGTAACTAAATGTTGTATATGTCGATGTATCTATTACACGTGTGTCCCTCTCTGTGATCCGCTAAGTAGGTATATTTTCTAACTTTTAAATTAGTAAGTATTATTTAGTACACTTTAAATCTTTATATATATACATACATATATATATATTACAATACGTTAACACGACACTTTCAGTAACTGTCGCATATGGTTAAAAACTGTATAAACCTTTCTAAATAAGATTTTGAAGTATTTATACCTAATTAAAATGAAAACGTTTATAAAAATAATCGATTAAAACACTTTATTCGCGTATTTTTTTTTGTGATGGAAACAATTTCTCGAACAGCACTACAATATCTTATCATGACTTATCGATCGTTGCAGTCCACTTTTGTATGTGTAAGAAACGTGAACCAACCAGCTAATGAGAGAGAAACGTGTAAGTACTGTTCTAAAATTGCAACCATAGTACTAAAATTAATGAAAAGTTAAATCTATATTGTTGAAGAAGCTCGCCGGAGCACTAAATTTAAAATAACTTACTTACTAGCTAAAATAACGAATAAGAATATTTGGAAACACAAAGCTGCCTCAATATTATTAAAGTCTAAGCATCTGATATCCGTTGATCTCTTATTTTATTTATCACTATATTTCCAACTAAATTTATTGTTTATAAAAACGATCTTTCATATATTCTGCACTTAATAACTAATGTGTATAATCAAAACGCTTTAAGTATTGTGTTGTATCATATTATGTACCAATGATATACGCTAGAAATACGGGCCACTAATTTCCGAGATATTTCAAATCGAACAATAAAATCTAACTATTCATTGAACTACATTCCTTTCGGTCCTAACTACGTCACAATCAATCGTTCTCATTAAATACTATCAAAATTTAATCAACGATATGAAGATAATCTATTAGGGTCTGACCACATCCACGCGACACAGAGCAAGGCCGCGCCCTTAAATGATTTAAGCCATACTAGACAATACGATTATATGAGGCGTAATGCTTTTTTTTATTGCCCTCGTAGGCAGACGAGCATACGACCCACCTGATGATGAGTGGTTACCGTCACCCCTGGACTTCTGTAATGCTAGGGGCAGAGCCAAGCCGCTTGACCGTTAAGAACTCCCCACAGGCCTCGTTTGAAGAAGGATATGTCATGGCGCTCGGGAAACACCGTGGAAGAGAGCTCATTCCAAAGCCGGGTGGTACGTGCAATTGCCGCTTAAATTGCAATGCTTGAAAACACTGTCACTACATAGTTTCAATAGTTAAACAATATCGTATCATATCTATGAGAAACGCGTACGAAGGCGGGCGTAGTCTCGCTGTTTGATTAAAAGTTCTAATTTAACCGCTGTTTGATTTTTTTTAATATTTCTTATGATGTGTCGACGTCATTCCACCTTATAGTCAGTATGTTGATTTTGACAAACGATCATAGATAGACCTCCGGATAATTTGGTGAAACTATTCATTTGTGTGTGATTACTTGAACCACGATAATGTTTTTATTGCTTTTTGGATAGATCATTAGCAATTTGCATGTTGCTCAGCCGTTACCGGAGCCCATGGAAACCTATAAACATATGTCCTGAAGGTTCAAAGTCGTGCGATTATAATGTTTCGAAGTCGGTACAATTTTTTTTATTAATTATGTATCAAACATACACACAAACACACGGATGACTTCCATAACGCAGAATAAAAATAGTGTTACAACTTGTATTTTAAAATGTTGGTGAATCGACACCTACTATCTTTATAACATATAAACGACCTTCCCATATCTACCGCTAAACAGTAGCGCGCTCCCAATTTATGGGTATTTAAATGGCAATTAATAAATATTAATTTACTATAATAAATTTATGAGGGCTAAGCTAGGCCTTATGTTCTCGTGTTTATGAGCTCTCGTGGCCATTACACACCCGGTCAGGCTTAGTCATACACTCGACGACTGTGGTAAAATTATAAAATATAAATAATATTACAACGGATAATAATAATATGGTGAATGAGCGACGGCCCGAGCCACGCAACTTTTTTTTTTTATTGCCCTTGTAGGCAGACGCGCATATGGTCCACTTGATGGTGAGTGGTTACCGTCGCCCATGGACTTCAGCAATGCCAGGGGCAGAGCCAAGCCACTGCCTACCGCATATTTGTCTTTGGTTAATCAAATGTGTGTATTTAATCCACCACACACAAATATGTGTGTTGTCCATTGAATATTATAATCTAATACAGATCTGTGCCGTACTAAGCTTATAATTATTCATTATTTAAAAAAATCTTAATATCGCCATATACTGATTTGTAGGTACAAAAAATTTCAATATCTTATAACACTTTTAGCGTGCATCAGAGGTACTTTATAAGAGTCTATTGTGCAGTCTGTTTCTAGGATAAATTTTTACCTAACTTATGATGATGGACGTACAGACTGCATAGCTATAGTTTATTATATATTATTATTATACTTATATGTAATTTAGAATTGTTGAGTCGACCTCTTAATAGGTAAATGTTTACTTTGTATTGAACGTGAAATATGTAATGTTATTGATGTGAACATTTTCTGAACCAAATGTTTTAGGATGGTTAAGATCTAAGTATTTAGTCGTGTTTGCCCAAACAAAGACCTGTTTCACCGAAATATATGCTATGAATTTTAAATGTAATTGACGTGATAAATAATTGTTGTGGATATAATCATTCTTTGTATCACTTCCGAGTCGATGTAAATAATGGTAGTTACTTCAAAATTTGACCCTTATCTGTTAAATTAGACGTCATGAAAGCTAGGTTAGTTACTTAATAATATCAAGCGCTCTATGTAGCAGTATACCAATTTATTTGTTGTTTATTGTAGGTTAATAATATTTTTCTGCACAGAACAATATACCAAACCAACACCTTTAAATATGTTTATTGTATTAAATAATTATTAATACTTACAATGTTTATTCAAATAAAAAAAACATTAATATTAAATGAAAGCTCTTGTCAATGTGAAGCGGGTCTTTAAACTTACATGGATCATTTACATTTAGGTGTTGAAAAAATTACGTAGCCTAAAAATTATAATGTTTATAACACTGAAAAATGAAACAAGCAAACGTTGAATTGTTCGTAATTTTTACACTTTTGAAACTATACAAAGAGGTTATTAAAATTTTCAAAGTGAAATCGTTTCGTTCGCCATGTTTTGCTCAAAGCTTGTAAAATTCTATAAATGAAAATTAATACGAAATTGGGTGTCACATAAAAAAGAAATGTGTGGTGTCGTGGGACACCGGATAGGAACGAAGTTTCTTACAATAAAAATATTAATTTTAAGTTCTATTCGAGGTATAAAGAAAATAAAATTGGAGGTTTCGCAACAACCCACGGTCATTCAGTAACGTGCGAACTTATTGTGGTACACTTCATTCACGGTTGTTTGCATAAGAGTTAGTGTATTGC